AAAAAATATTAAAAATTTTAAAAGGAAGGATTAAAAACTAACAGAAACTAACATAGAATCAATGCAAGAGAGAAAAAGGAGAAAGAAATACAAAGTAAAAAGTGCAGGAAAAAAAGAAAAAGGAAATATAAAGGAATAACTTCCAATTTTTCTTACAGCAGTCAGAAGTACAAATGTAAAGTTTTCTCTGTGGTTACAAAATAAATCCTACAATCTATTTTTTTCTAATAATCAAAGCCAGAAATCATAAGTTCATTTTTTTCACATAAAAATTACTGGTGTCCAGTCAGCAATAAATATAGATACATAATGTTTTTTCTCAAATCAGAGAAGTCAATTTGGCCATCTCGGCAAATTCCATCATCTTCACCATCCATTTCTCCACTGAGGTGAGGGTATTGTTGAATCTTTCCACCTTTGTGCATATGATAACTTCACTGCAATTATCATGTACAAAAGCAAAGTTCCATGACTTCTTTCCAACAGTTTTGTCTATCAGCCCCAAAAGAAAGGCATCTGATTTTAATTGTACATTAATCTTTAAATTCTTCAGAATTAGTGTATGTATTTGAATTCAAAACTTTCTGTCTTTTTTATATGTCTATAGACATGATGAAAATGTCCTAACGTTTGAATTACTTTATGTCTCTGGTGACATATACCAATGATACACCATTTATAAAAATTCTATTTAACATTATAACATAATGCCATTTTCACATCTTTCAGCCACATATCCTCCCATTGTTCTGTGTATTATAACCAAAGTTTTAGCCTATTTTATCATATATTCATTCACTTGTTCTTTTTAAAATTTCAGTTAAAAATTGCATGTTCATAATTTGTACACAATTGAATTTCAACCTCAGTTTTATACTTTTCAAAACCAAAAATTATTTTGGCTACTTTAAATGTTTTTAATAATTGTTTATAAGAAAACTATTGACAAATACAGGTAGACTTACGACCACAATTCAGCTCAAAATTTCTTTTGCTAAGTGAGACAGTTGTTAAATGAGTTTTGCCCCATTTTGCAACATTTCTTGCCACAGTTGTTAAGTGAATCATTGCAGTGGGTAAGTTAGTAACATGGCTATAAAGTGAATTTGACTTTCCCATTGACTTCGTTTGTCAGAAGGTTGCAAAAGGTGATTACATGACCCTGGGATACGGCAACTGTCATAAATATGTCAGCCAAGTGTCTTGTCACATAACCATGGGGATGCTGAAATGGTTATGTGAAAAATAGACATAAGTCACTTTTTTCAGTGTCATTGTAACTTTGAACAGTCACTAAATGAACTGTTGTAAGCAGAGGACGATCGGTATATCCCTTCTGATTTTCATTTTGTATTCACCTTGATGAAATTTTAGTATCTCACAATAAGTCATCCATTTATGTTTACTTCTGATCTACAAAATGCTTCTTATACTGAAAGCTGCAGAGGTGTTTTCAGGCACAAAATGGGTTTGTATCTATTCCACATTCTCAATAGGGCATGTCTAACAACCTTAGCTTTATTGAACCATAAATATTCAAATCTCAAATAATGTCCTTCTGTTTCCAAAGTGTTCTATTTCTCAATAACACCCACAATTTCATCCAAACAAAGCAACAGGCTGCAAAAGATACTTTTAAATCAGGTAGACCCAATCCTCTTCTTTCTTCTACATCTTGTAAACACTTTATATTTAACCTTGTATTTATGGGGTTTTTTCTTTGCCACACATCATTTGTATTTTCTGAAACAAAAATAACATTCTAGGTAAGACATTTATCTTAATCATATAAATTCTCTCCAGCAATGACTTTTGTCCCATTTTGACATATCTTTTCAACTTCATTCCATGCCTTAACCTAGTTACTTTTAAAATTTTTTAATAGCAATACTATAATATTTTACACTCTTCTCAATTTTAAAACTTACTTTATTCGTCATTTCTGTTTGATCTTGTATTTTCATATTTTTTGTTAATACCATTGTCTTCTTTATTAAAACATTAAAAGAATTAAAACATTCTTTTATTTTACCCCTTAATATTTAAATTCTTTTAAAAGGATCTTCCATAACCAACATTAAATCATTTACGAAAACTCTTAACTTATAAGTCTTCAACGGAAAGTACTTGTGAATTACTACCCAAACTTCATGTTGAGTGAAATGACTAGCAGGCATGTTTGCTTATTTGATGTAATGCAATTGTAAGGAAGATTCCAGCTGTTACTTGAAGTGGTTGACTAGAGTCTTTCCTGCTAGCAGACTGAGCCTCAAGGAAATATCCTTCCCTGTTGTTTTATGTGCCCAACCTCAGCACTTAATATGTGTTCATGTTTAAGTAAGCCAGATTGTGATTTGGCACTGCAGGTGGCAAACGTCTTCAGTGGATTAGTCACAAATAGTTGCCCTCTTAGCTTGTTTTGAGCCACAAAACCTGTAAGGAAAAATATTCCTCCTGATAATACCATCTGTTTCCAGTAAGTTAAATATAATGATTTGTGGTGAAGCATGTAAAAACCATGTGAGATTAACATGTTTTCTAGGTTGGAAATTATTGTCATATGGTAGATCAAACTTAGATAAATAGTTTTGCATTAATCAAACCTAATCCACCCTATGGATATATTGATAGGTCATAAATCTTTAGATCAGGGGTGTCAAACTCGCAACGTCATGTGATACATTGCGACATATCACGACTTTTCCCCCATTGCTGGAATGGGTGGGCATGGTTTCAGCCTGACGCATCCAGCCCGTAGGCTGGCAGTTTGACACCCCTGCTTTAGATGGATGCAACTAAAGTGCAGCTAAAGTGCATGTTGATTTAGTGGATTCTGAAGCCTGTTTTGGTTAATCTATGATTGTAACTAACACAACTTTGCGGCTGAGCTGATTCAGCTATCTTGAATCATTTAATTTTGATTGTCCTAAAGGGTGTTATGACTATTGGTTAGTCTCTTTCCATGTCAGCATTCTTCTTTGACTTGGGCATTCAGAAAGCAGGTGTATTAGTAAAAAAAACATGTAGCAGTCCTCTGATGATAACATGACAATTGAGGGATTCAAAATTTTGGGTGACAGTGGGATGATAAAAAATAGTGGTTTTGTCAGTCTGCCACAAGCTTGGTTGCTCAAGGCTGAAGAACAAATAGCTCATGAAGAGAATATATTTAATTCCAGATTTGGAAAAAGAGATAGAAGAATTGGCTGAAGCAGTATAAGGTGTTTCTAGGCACCAGGTGAGTAGAAAACACTAAAGATAGAAGGCAAAGAAATAAGGTGATGTTTAATGTTTGGGATAGTGGCACTCGGCTAGAAAGCGGCAGACCATGAGTTAAAGTCCCGCCTTAGCAATGAAAGTCAGCTGGATGACTTTGGACCAGTTATTTTCTCTCAGCCCAAGTCATCTCACAGGGTTGTTGTGTGAACATAGGAGGAGGGAAGATGTGTTGGATATGTTCACCCCTTGAGTTATTTGTAAAAATAATAAAACTGGGATGTAAACAAATGAAGTTTTCTGCTGCAGTAGCTTTTATGAAGTTATCAGTGTTGAAATATAATTAAATGATGATTAGAATTGCCTTTAAAAGAGAGTCAACTGAGTTGTAAAAAAAGGGGCAAATGCCCTGAATGGAACCACTTGACCATAGATTAATGACACACATGCCATTCCCTCTCCCCCAACATTTGGTGGAAACATTGGAATCAAGCAAGTTAATTTTTAAACAAATAAATAAAACCTGGAGGATTCCTCCCACTCCATCTGTTTTTCTGTTTCTGTTGTTATTACTATTATTACTCTTCAGAAAAGGGGAAATTGGAACAATATTAACAATAGAACAGCTTTATCATGTTTTCAAAACATAAAATAAATTTAATTCTTCATTTACAAAAGCCTGTATCCAATCACATTCATGCTTATTTTTTTGCTTAAGTTGGCAAGCCGTTTAAAAGAGATCAGTGTATATCAAAATATCAATACACCAACATTTTTTATTTGGTTAGGCAGTCATCAATTACTCATCGAAATGCCTATAACTGAGCATATTCAACCCCACTACTAAGGAGAGCCAATGAAATTGTAGGCCAAGCTATAGCAGCTTGCATATTTATATTATCTTTCCTATCTTTTTGGCTTCTTATACTTGTCACTTTTATCTTAAATCCTGTATCTATTCACAATTTAAGAGTGTGATATCTGAGAAATTAAGGCAACCTGGGATGATATTCCATATTTTCATTTGATTGCTTAAGTTTTGGCTGACAATTGTTTAAAATATATATATACTAGATGCATCTATAATCCTATCAATGCATAGTACTAGAAGTTAAAGCTATAAATTTGGCTGCAGGAAACATTTTAAATTTATGTAATTCATCTTTTTGCATCAAAGTTATTTTGTAAAGAAATGCAATTGTGCTATTCTTGTATAACTAGAACTAGCTGAAAATCTAAAAATTTAAAAACTGGTACTGCCTTTCTGGGGAAGAATTAGCTAAACATCCAGCCTTATAGTAAGGTCACAGGTATGAATCAATCTTGTGTGTGGGTGGATGATTTGGAGAAAGCTCAGTATGAAATATCTAAAGAGATAAGGTCCATATAATAACCTGCAAATTGAAGGTCATTTGTGATTGGCATTTGGAGAGATAAGTAGCTATTGATATACATCAATAATGTCATCTGCCTGCAGGTTGGATCCAGACCTTGCCTTTTTGATTATCATACCAAGTTTGAGTTTGATTTATTAAAGTGTATTAAAAGTTGAGCTTCCAAGAAAGTAAGTTGAATAAGGGCATCACTTAAATCAGTAACACAATTTAACTGCGACTTTAAGACCCATGATTTTTAACATGCAACACAAATCTGGAATTAAACCTTTGTGCGATTTCACTTAGAAAGAAGCAATGAAATTCTAGATGATACTGTTGTCTCATGCACATTATAACAAACCAAAATAATCCACATTGCTTTCCTTTTGGTAGGGGATGTTTTCGGAAATGCAGTGGTCTTTGAGTGTCTCTGGTATTTCTGACATGGGTCAGCACCATTATATAACACAAAGCATATGGCACTATTATTAGGGAATCTAAACATTTGTCAATACAACAGGAGAATAGCAAATATTTCTGGAAACAAAGACTCCTTTCAAAATGAAGTGAACTACCCAAAATGAAACTACCCATTTGTGTTGATGTAAAGAGTGTTTTATAGTAATTTAATACCAATATGTTTATTATGACCTAAGCTCTCTTGAGTTCAGTTCCATAGATACATCCAACGAAATGGATTCCTGTCCTTAAAAGCTAATGTAATAATAATTCAGTAATCTTTATGATGCTATGAAAAATTAAACATATTAATTAGAAAGTAGACTATTACCTTCCTGGGATTCTTTGAAGTCAACTCACTCATCCAAATATTCTCTTTCAGTTCCATTATTTGTGTTTACTAGAAGTCATAAAGTCAAGTTTCAAAGCACTGTAAAAGCTTAAACTTGCATCCATAGAGCAGCCATAAAAATTATAAATCAATTTTGAATACAAATTATATTCCAATATTTCTTGTACTTGCATTCAGACTCCTAACTTGCTTTACCCCCCTTTTTGTTTCCTTCAGAAACACTAATGGATACTCGGACAGCCACAGCTGAACTTGGTTGGACAGCAATCCCAACATCAGGGGTAAGTAGATGTCAGCTACTTAAATGATTTGTAAAAGGGATGTTGTATCTTGTATAAATTCAAATAAGTAAGACTGGCTTTCAAAATTCTCCTACATTATCCTACTAGCAGTAAAGATCTTTCCAGAAATCTAACAGGTTTTATTTCCTGAGCTTGCCAGCCTCACAAAGTTTTTCATGAATCTTGAAAGCTTTTATACTGCCTCATCAAAGAAGGATCAGATTCTATCCTGAATGTGGCTTTGGATCTTTTGAGGTTGGTAGAGTAAGAGGCAGTGGTGTCATATAGATCGGGGTTCCCAACCTAGTGGGCCATGAGCTGTTTGCAACTGGGCTGTGAAAATGATGGGCGAGTAGGCATGCGTGCGCGCGCATACCTACTTGGGCAATAGTGTGCACACATATTCCCTTTGTGTGCATGTGCCCACTGCTCACACAAATGGAGCTGTGCGAGTGTGCTTCTGGCTGCTCGCGTGGAACCATCTCCTCCCCCCCCGCCTGTCTGCAAAGCCAGAAAGGTTGGGGAACTCTGACATAGACCACAAGTTTACATAATACTACAGTGCAGTTAACTCAGGGTTTACCTCAGTTAGAAGGAATACCACAGGTGATTGAGCAGCAGTTATACTTCTTGAAAACCTGTCTGTGAAATTAAGGAAATGCAGGACCCAGGACTATTGAATACTTTCTTATTCTGTGTGAATTATTCATGGTGGGAAGGTTAGGAGTTCCCTACAGATTCAACCAAGGTGACATTATGTTCTTAGACTTTTAAAAGGAAAAGCAGGCAGATGGGCATTCCTACTGACTGAAAACAAGGGTGGCATACTAGACAGCTATCAAGATTTTACGCAAAAGTTCAAACCTGTCTTTGATAATACTATCAGGAGAGCAGATGCTAATTGGGAGATTTGTGACAAGGATGCAGAGAATGTGAATGCACAGCAGGTTTTCAGTTATAATGCAGGGATGTGCATTAGAATGGTTTTGCCCTTATCATTCATTTTTGGGGAGGTCTTTCTGATGAACTGGATGAGTTGGAAGAGTTATTTCAACATTGTGTGGTTATTGATGGTAGACTAGAATAAGAGAAAGATCATTTCAGAGCCTTTCTTCACCCTTTCCCCCTTCTAGTTATCTCTTGGATTCCAATGGTTTGGAGCCTATGCAGATAGGAAATGATGAAGAGTTTCCTGTCCACAGTGGGAAAAACAATGAAAATGACAGCTCAGATTGTATGCTTACTGTGGAGCCCTTGGCCATTTATTGGAGGCTTGCACTGCTAAACTTTCTTCCTTTGAATTACCTGAAAAATATTGCATTGTGGAGATTTAGTAATAATACATTACTTTATTATTTAGTACATATTATGAATAAATACCCAATTTGCTCTAAAGTCGTCACAGAGCTCCTTCCAAAGAACTTTTCAAGAGGGACCGTAGATAATTAAGAAGAGTTCTGACATATGAAACCAGGCAATGCTGGTTTATAATCCTAATTAATATATGTATATCTATGGACTTGGAACTCCAACTCCATAATTTCTTTTGAACTCTGGAAAACTGTTAAACTGAGCTATTGTGCAGCAATTGTGTTGCACATATAATCACTGGAAAAGATTATTCCACTGGAAGTGATCAGTGACAAATGCCTCAAATGAGGTCCCCCAACTTATTTGCAGCTGAGAAGAAATGATAACAAATACTGTAATTATTGCAACTGTATTTGCAAATAATTATTCAACTGGGTCCATATATGTCCCAATTTTCTTGACCATAGACTGGTTGCAAACACCTAATCCTCGTATCCACTGTAGCAACAGATTATTTCTTTCTTCTCAGACAAATAAAAAGGTCGACACTACTAGTTCCAGATTTTTTTTGTCTTTTTTTTCTTGTCCTTTTAAGATTTTTTTCCCCTTCTCTTTCTTTCCCGCTATGCTGCCTGCATTTCTTTCTTTGCCAGAAAAGTATATAGAGTTTGGCAATGCTTCAAGGGAAAAGGAAGCTGCAGCCTCTCCTCTGCATTAGGTGTGTAATTATATTATCAACTTGCTACCTAGAGCCTGAATCTCAGAACTAAATGGCAATATACATGTCTACTCAAGAATTACCAACTTCAAAGTAATTTCTGTACAAAAATCAGAAGAAAGGATTTATTTATCCTCCTTTTTCTTACCATTCCTTTGACTAAAAAAAAAAAGAAAGATACATTTTCTTCAATTTATAGACTTCTCATTTCTGAACTATTAGAGGTCACTATCTATTGCCTCTTATTTTAGATCTGCTGGACTACCTTCAGAAATCACACATTTTTACTAAACAGGTTTGAGAGAAGCTTACAATTTAATTTGGATATAGAACGGCCATTAATATCTAACAGCCTTTTGACATTTGTTATGGCATAGAGAGCCATAAGGAAGAGTCTCAGAATAACTTTCTTACCCACACTAGCTATAAATTGTGCAGGAGAATTGGTTTGGAAGGTTTTCAAGATTCTGTACAATAGCTAGCCTACTAGCAATAAAGATCGTTCCAGAAATCCAAGTGGTTCTTTTTTCTTGAGTTTGCCAGCTCACAGGGCTTAACACATAGTTGAGAAAAATGTGGATTTGCACACTATATTCTTATTTTAGAAGTCTTGGAAAGTTTTGGAAAGTGCAAACTGGGTGAATGAGAACTGAACAAGTATTAGTTTTATTTGTTCAGTTAAATATTATAATATTTGTGAAGGGGCAGGGGAAGAAATTTGCTTCCTATCTTGTTATAATCTTAACTAGCCTTGATTTTTGATCACTTCTCAGACAGTGGAAAACCCAACCTATTTAATTATATATGCAAATGGAATTGTGTACTGGTTCCCTACATCTGAACTGTGAAAAGGAATTCCTGTCACTTTCTCTTGTTCCCTTCCAAAGCATTTTCCATTTTTAAAAAGCAACCTTATGATTTAGGGCTTGACTTCCAATTTTTTCCTTCTTAAATCCAGGGCTGATTATGAAACAAATATTCCAAGTGGCAGATAGGATGTAATCCTAAATCCGGACTCAATCCTCCTCTCTACACTTTTTCATGTTGAAAAAACAAGATGTAGAATAAATTCATATTTTCTGTAGATTTAAAGGCAATAATAAATACAAGGATAACTTACGTGGAGCCATTTGGTGTAGTGATTCAAAACACTGGCTTAGAAACTGTGAGTTCCAGTCCTGCTTTAGCCATGAAGCCAACTGTGTGACTTTGGGCCCATCACTCTTTCTTAGCCCTGTGTCAGACAGTAGAGTGAGTACCAAATGCATCACAGATGCTCACAAGCACTTGAGCAATAGGGATCTTCCAATTTTGTTTCCTAAATGTTGGTATTAAATTATTCAGGATATAGAGGTGGAGCTGGAGTCATGGGATAGTCTGATCATTCAGGCTAACCCTCTTTTAAAATTGTCTAAATTTGTGATTATCATTCCACATAATGGCAGCAAATTATTTGGTTTAATGATATATTGTGTTCAGCTATAAGCAATTGTGAAGCATGAAACCATACATCAGGATTTGGAAACAGAACCAACAAAGACATTATAAGAGAAACATTATGTTGGATGCATGCAGTATGGTACCTTACATAGAACTGTCTTTGCAGAAATGTCTTATATCAACCTCCATAATTCAGTCTGTTCCAGATGTATTAGAGTGTACATCCACAAAGCCAGTACAGAAGCTGTTTTTCAGCACATAAAGAGCACAGGCCAAGGAAGGATGCTTTTGATGTTAGATTAGGTCCAGTAAAATCAAAACCATCCCATCCCATCCTTGTCATGAAAAGAAAATCACCTTGTGTCAGGGCTTCCATATACATATGCAAACAGTCTAGCCTACCCAAGGGCATTGCTGTATAAAAGGAAAATTATATGCTATTTGAACTATATGCTAGAAAATTATATGCTGTTTGAACTTTTATGACCAAGATGCGATAAACAACAATACTTTTCCTAATTAACTGTTTCCTCTGCCCATGCATGATTATTTCTGAACTCTACAGTTTATTTGCAGGACTTTATCTAGTATACAAATTTCTTCACAAGAGGTGATCCTACATTTTATCACAAAATGACAGTGGACCTGCAATGCATAACGTTTTGATTCTCGAATAGATCTAATGAGGCATGCTAGGATTTAATGCCGTGGTTCTATGCATAGGATTACACTTTTGCTCTATTCATGCTCCCAACCACTTCCATTTTCCATCTCCAGAATTAACAGTTTCGCTAATGCCACTATTTATCATTGAAATATCTCACCTCTTCTCTTGCTAATACAATTCCCACATTTCTATTCCATGAATGCTAAGTTCAAAGTCAGTCAACATACGAAATAATTTTCCCAGGATCGCAGACTATATGCCAATTTCAAAAATTCATATACACTTGCTTTCTAAAGTTACATTTGGGGGGGGGGGGTTATTTAGTATATTTAGTATATTGTTGCATAAGGTGGTTGAGATATAAACACAGAGTTCATTTAAATCATCTTCCAAGCTGCTGTTTGTGTAACAGCATCCCTTTCCAGTTATATACAATATGTCATCAGAAACTGAGATCAGTAAAGGCTGCAATCATCTGAATACAAACTGGGAAAAGAACCACACAAAGAGAAATCAAATGTTTGGTACAGCCAACTTTCCACAATAAGGAAAATCATTGCTTTGAAGGTGACTGGAAACAGAACAGGTAGCATCCAATTTGCATCACTCATATTGCAAGAGATAGGTTTGGATGGTTAGTGGCAGGAGCACTTGCCACAGCATAGTCATTCTCAAAATAAGGATGTCATATAGCAAGAAGGAAGGGTCAAGTTATAAGATGTTTATTTTGGGCTATATCTTATAGCCAGAGAATCTGCCAAGAGTTGGTATGGTCCTTCAGATTTGTTATGAATTTGGGTTGCTACAAGGAGATAACCCTACAATTTTCTTGTAAACATTTCAGAAGTGAGCATTTGTGATGCA